AGGGAGGCTGAAAAGAAACCAGAGAGAGATCAGAAAGACAGAGACCAGAGAGAGAGACCGAAAAGAGACCAGAGAGAGACCAGAGACAGAGACCAGCAAGAGACCAGAGAAAGACCAGAAAGAGACCAAAGAGAGACCAGAGAGACCAGAGAGAGAGACCGAAGAGAAACCAAAGAGAGAGACCAAAGAGAGACCATGCGAGAGGCCGAAGAGAGAGACCAGAGAGAGATCAGATTCGGTCACAATCACTTTATTAACACTTTTCCAGGCAGAAAAGTTCATCCAATTGCCGCAGGTGGTGGGTTCACGGCAGAGTGTGGTTAAGTGTCTTGCCCAGAGACACAGAGGCAGCAGATGTCAGTGAGAGTAGGTGGAGGAGAACTCGTGGCTCAAAGACCAATGCTTTGGCCCAAAGACCAATGCTCTACTAACTAAACCCCTTTCACCCAACAGTAGAACTCACTTGGACAGGGAGACTAGAGAAAGCGCAGAGAGAAACGGAGCGAGACCAGAGTGAAACCAGAGACAGAGACCAGAGAGAGAGACCATAGAGAGAGACATATAGACATACAATGACAACTCAGATACACAAGGGATAAACCATCAAGGATTTAAAACCAAGCATCAGAATGTTAAAATCCATTGGTCCGTAGGGAGCAGGATGACCACTGTCCAGAAATGTTGATAAATGTTTTGGTTCATCACTGTCCTTAGACCCTCCTGCATTAGCAAGAACACTTCAAAACCTAGGACTGAGGCTGTAGATCCAGGACTGAGGCTGTAGATCCAGGACTGAGGCTGTAGATCCAGGACTGAGGCTGTAGATCCAGGACTGAGGCTGCAGATCCAGGACTCAGGCTGCAGACCCAGGACTGAGGCTGTAGATCCACAACTGAGGCTGTAGATCCAAGACTGAGGCTGTAGATCCACGACTGAGGCTGTAGATCCACGACTGAGGCTGTAGAACAAGGACTTTTAGCGGCATGAAAAACCTACTCGACGGTTACCACACATTCTTTTCATTTAACCAGGAAAAATCCCACTGAGATTAAGAACCTTTTTTCCAAGGGAGTCCTGGCCAAGAGGCAGCAAAGTTACACCTAAACATAACAGAGAGTAAAAACAAAAAAAGTCATCTTTAAGTAAGTAGTAGTAGTAGTAAGTAATCTTTATTTATTTACCGCCTTTTCACTGCACATCGGAGTCTCAAAGCGGTTTACAATTGTGATTTTTTTTTGGGAGTGGGGTCGCCAGTGCAGGAGGCACATGCCAGACCTATTGTACATATTTTTAGTGGTAGGGGAAACCGGAGCACCCGGAGGAAACCTACGCAGACACGGGGAGAACATGCAAACTCCACTCAGAAAGGCCCTGGTCCAACCGGGATTCGAACCCAGGACCTTCTTGCTGAGAGGCGAGAGTGCTATCCACTCAGCCACCGTGCCGCCCAAACATCACATCTTTAAAATGTGATGTTTATTCTTTTCTAAACCAAACTCTTAATTTGATCCTAGCTTCCTCAGACGGCAGAGTGGGTCAGAGTAAACAGGTCTTCCCATAGGTCATCCTCCTCATTACGGCTCCGAAGAGAGACCGCAAGTGTCTCTCAAAAATCACAACGTTCTCTCAGACAAAAACAGCTGAATAAAGCCACACGGATATCAGTTAATGAGACACAGAGACTCTTCAAACTCTCCAACCATTTTAATTAGAAAATGTTTATTACAGACTGTGTTATGCCCAGCACAAAGACCAGCTCAAGGTACTACTAGAAATGAAAGTTTGGATATAGATAAAGATATAGGTTTGAGAAAATGGAATGAGGAATAAGCTTATGTACAATCCAACAGAGAAGTGGATAGTATATAAGACCAAAGAGAGAGACCAGAGAAAGTACCAGAGGGAGACCAGAGAGAGAGACCAGAGAGAGACCAGAAGGAGACCAGAGAGAGACCAGAGAGAGACCACAGAAAGTACCAGAGGATTGTATATAAGACCAGAGAATGAGGCTATAGAGAAAGAGAAAAGTGAGAGACCAGAGAGAGAGCAGAGAAAGACCAGAGAGAGAGAGACCAGAGAAAGACCAGAGAAAGACCAGAGAGAGAGAGAGACCAGAGAAAGACCAGAGAAACACCAGAGAGAGACCAGAGAAAGACCAGAGAGAGACCAGAGAAAGACCAGAGAGAGACCAGAGAAAGACCAGAGTGAGACCAGAGATAGAGACCGGAGGGACCATTGGAATTTACTTATTTACAATTCAACTTCTCTGTGAACGATTGCGAAGTGGTACAGCACAGAGGGAAGCGCCTTAATATTATTACTGGCCGCGGTATAACACTGTTTGAACCTAGTGTTAAATTACAGGTTCCAAATCCGTCACCATAGCAACACACAGCTTGAAGCACAAACTGTTAGCTTCAAGTTTGGATCATTAAACGACTTTTAAAAGTGTGTTATGCAGCCAGAGGTTGAATTACTAGAGACTGTATATAGATGGACAATGCAAGCCCGCAAGCTCAATGAAGCCTGATAGGGAAGTGTTCATGGACAAAGTTTTGCTACTATTGACTTGCATGTAAAGGTAATTTCCTCCAGCTCAGTAACTGTTTGTGTCACACTCACCGTTTGGGCTTTAATCTTTGCGCTCTCTGTGATCCTGGTGTTTATTTTGTGATATTGTTTTTGTGAATCCTGATATGAGCCATATTAGGGAAATTGGCTCCAGCTAGCTTATGCTCAAATCTGTCTCTTCCGCATTAAGACTAACACTATGGTGATGTCACACTTGGTCAGTCCTCTCCTAATATATGCTCTATGGGAGTTAAGTTGCTAAACCTGCTAAAATAAGTAAAATTAGAATAAAACTAAAATCGAATTAAAAGCCTTACATTAACCATGTCATATCTGGGTCTTTTTTTACATTCCTTGTCCCCTGACGCTCTCACTAAGGTTTGTAATAGACTTCATTGAGCTAGCATTAGCATCATCCACCCGTTAACTGTATGTGGTCCGAGTCTGTGTTGTACCACTGCACTTGGACACACAACTCACCATCATCACACACAACCCACAACACAACACATGGATCAGGAGAGTGGAGCATTGATTATACTGGATTTAAGGCAACTCAAAGGAATGACTGTTGTGTCGGCAACAACAGCAGCTTCAAAGTCTCAGAATTAACACTCGAACCAGAGCAGTCAAAGTGACTGCTTTTAGTTTTGGAGTATTCACTAAGCTCATGTACATGTGTGATCTTCATAAATCTGTTGTTTATTTTATGTTATTAAAATATCTAATACTTTTAATGTGAAGAGTTCTACATTAAACTCAGACCGGTCAGGTTGACTGCTCCACATTCTGTAATTCTGTCACAGAAATATAAGTAGTGCACCATGTCCTTTAGTACTATTTTTACCATTACTCACTTTTAAAAAGTGCTAAATTTTGAGAATGTGTATCTCTGTACAATAAAACTTAAAGGAATAGTTCACCGTTTTTACATACTGACATATGTTCTTACCTTACCTTAGACTAGTTAATACGTACCTGTCTGGTCTTAGTCCGTGCGCTCTGTCATGCAAACGGAGCAAAAACGGGAGCACAAACGCAGCCTCCTCTGTATACTGTATAGGACCCAAAAGGTAGCTCCCGCTAGAAGCTACCAAACTCTTCCAAGTGTTCCCTATTAAATGTATATAGTTACGTGACGTGTTACACTGCAAAGTATAGTAACACAGAAATGTAACTGTCGATTTTCTCAGCGGATAAAACGGGTACTATATTGTGAGGCGTAGTAATCTGAGGAGCGCTACGTCCGCGCACTAACTTCTCTCCGGAGACTTCTCTCTCTGCTGCTTCTATTGACGGAAGTGAGCAAGAGAGAAGTCTCCGCGCGGACGTAGCGCTCCTCAGATTACTACGCCTCACAATATAGTACCCGTTTTATCCGCTGAGAAAATTGACAGTTACATTTCTGTGTTACTATACTTTGCAGTGTAACACGTCACGTAACTATATACATTTAATAGGGAACACTTGGAAGAGTTTGGTAGCTTCTAGCGGGAGCTACCTTTTGGGTCCTACACAGTATGCAGAGGAGGCTGCGTTTGTGCTCCCGTTTTTGCTCCGTTTGCATGACAGAGCGCACGGACTAAGACCAGACAGGTACGTATTAACTAGTCTAAGGTAAGGTAAGAACATATGTCAGTATGTAAAAACGGTGAACTATTCCTTTAAAATACAACAAAAACAGTTTGGTGAATGGCTAAATGCTAAGACCTGTTAGTAAATAGTGTGTTGCAATGGTAACTTGAAATCGCTCTACTCTGGGAGAATACCAGGCTGATCCAGGACCAAAAATAAAGTAATTTCCTAAAAAGTTCTGAAGATCACAAATCTACATGAACAGTAATTCAGAAACATACTGACTGCTCTGGGAGTTGTTGTGCTAACAGCAGAGACATTAGAACACGCCAAAGTTTCTTCATGGTTCCACCAGGACCTAGGGTCAGAAACACACACAACTTTAGGCCTGTCACGATAACCACCACCTCGGCTCCAACAGAAGGATCATACATTTTGTGGTTCTATATTCATCTCTAAGAAAAATCTTTCAGACAAAGAAAAGTTTTAAATCTTTTATAACATACAGTTGTCCCTGGTTTGTTGCAGGGATACGGGCTGAAAAATATCCTCTCTCTGGTCTCTCTCTCTGGTCTCTCTCACTGGTCTTTCACTAGTCTCTCTCTGGTCTTTCTCCGGTCTCTCTCTCTCTGGTCTCTCTCACTTCAGCAGTTGTATAAATTGTGTGTGAGGGGTCTTACTACCTTAAAACATACAACAACTACTGAGAGGATTCAACTTATTGTGGGTTATTTTAGAACACATCACCCCCGCCATAAACCAGGGACCACTGTGGCAGTTTATTCTAGTTTAGTATAATCTTGTAATATATCCATGGACATTTATTAAAGTGACAGGCCTACACACAACCTCCTTCACTCTTCCCCCGCTCCAATAACCTTCCCATCAAACCCCTCCCCCTGCCTCAGCATGTCCACTTCCTCTTCTTCCTTATTTGGCATGTCCACTTCCTCCTCTTGCATTTTTGGCATGTCCACTTCCTCCTCTTCTTCCTTCTTTGGCACTTCCTCCTCCAGTGTCCCTGCATCCTGGTCTTCCCGGTCCATGTCCAGCTCTTCGAAGGAGGACCCGCTGCTACCAATCGAACCGCGGGACCCCCGGTGATGGGCCAGGGGCTGGGGGTCCGGCAGAGGCAGAGCCGAAGCCAGCGAGGCGGCGGTGGAGGCGGCCAACGACGTCTCTCTGCTGTCCCAGGGGGCGCCACCGCTCGCCGAGCTCACGTCACTGTGTGAATCTGCACCTGCGAGATGAGAGAAGAAGAAGAGAGACTTTTAACAAACAGTTTACAACAAAGACACAGAGCAACTGTAAACATGTTGTGTAGTAGTCTGGTCTCTCTCTCTCTGGTATCTCTCTCTCTGGTCTCTCTCTCTGGTCTCTCTCTCTCTGGTCTCTCTCTCTCTCTGGTCTCTCTCTATGGTCTCTCTCTCTCTGGTCACTGTCTCTCTCTCTGGTCTCTCTCTATGGCCTCTCTCTCTGGTCTCTCTCTATGGTCTCTCTCTCTCTGCTCTCTCTCTGGTCCCTCGCTCTGGTCTCTCTCTCTCTCTGGTCTCTCTCTCTGGTCTCCCTCTCTGGTTCCTCAATCTGGTTCCTCTCTCTGGTCCCTCTCTCTGGTCTCTCTCTCTGGTCTCTCTCTCTGGTCTCTCTCTCTGGTCTCTCTCTATGCTCTCTTTCTATGGCCTCTCTCTATGGTCTCTCTCTCTTGTCCCTCTTTTGTCCCTTTCTCTTGTCGCTCTCTCTGGTCCCTCTCTCTGGTCTCTCTTTCTGGTCTCTCTCTCTGGTCTCTCTGTATGATCTCTCGTTCTGGTCTCTCTCCCTTTTCTCTCTCTGGTCTTTCTGGTCTCTCTCCCTTTTCTCTCTCTGGTCTTTCTGGTCTCTCTCCCTGGTCACTGCCCTTTGAACCTTTCATCTCTCTGCCACATTTGCATTGATCCGGCCATTGTACGGCACTCGCCACAGCGGTAAAAATAGACTTGTTTTTATGGTATTAGACACAGTATAGGAGCTCTTTGTTGCCAGGCATTTCTGAAATTACAAAAGCAATAAACAGCAGGAGTAATAACCGCAGAGAGCGAATGGTGCACCTGCCGCCCACAACTACAAGAGAAACTATCGTCGCGGATCAAAATGAAAACTAAACATTTTATAAAGAGAGGAACACAGAGAATGATATTGAGGTGAGAGAAGACGTAATACACCTGATCGTTATTATATTCCATAATATTGAATTATGCCGTTTGTCCCGGTCACAACACACAAGTATAAATGGACGGTATTATTGAGCACAGATACAATCCCATTTTTCAATTAAATGTATTTGCGTACTTTTTTTTTCTTGCAGGAATTGTATTAACAAACACATAGGAAAGATTGGCGCATAGGGGGCAGGATGACTATTGTCTAGAAATGTAAGGTCCCATTCAAAAGTTGTCAATAGTAGTTGTCAACATTGGTTTATCTCTAACTATGGAAATGCTCATGTCATGAATAGCTGCAAAGTAAAAAACACTGAATATTTTAAAGGATGAACCAAAACGACAGCTTTAACCAAGAAAACCTCAGCTTTGTGGGTTTAAAACGTCGCTCTGGAACCATCCCCTTTTTCTCTTGTCCTCTCTTTCTTTCTCGGCTTCGACACAAACGTCTGCCCCACAAACAGAGTGCAATGTGGCTCTGACCACCATCCAGAGATCCAGAGATGGTAATAAATGTCCATAAATGTCCTGGATCATCCCTGTCCTTAGATCCTCCTACATACAGTAAATGGCAAATAAATTATTGCATCTTGTAGAATGTAGATCCAAGACTGAGGCCATAGATCCAGGACTGAGGCTGTAGATCAAGGACTGAGGCTGTAGATCCAGGACTGAGGCTGTAGATCCAGGACTGATGCTGTAGATCCAGGACTGAGGCTGTAGATCCAGGACTGAGGCTGTAGATCCAGGACTGAGACTGTAGATCCAGGACTGAGGCTGTAGATCCAGGACTGATGCTGTAGATCCAGGACTTAGGCTGTAGATCCAGGACTGAGGCTGTAGATCCAGGACTGCGGCTGTAGATCCTGGACTGAGGCTGTAGATCCAGGACTAAGGCTGCAGATCCAGGACTCAGACTGTAGATCCAGGACTGAGGCTGCAGATCCAGGACTGAGGCTGCAGATCCAGGACTGAGGCCCATTCGGGGAGGCCCATCTGTCCCGCAGCGCTTCTGTCCGCACCATTTTCCGTCTCCACTCACACTTCAGAGAAATCCCATCTTCACATCACACTGCGTTTCCTCTAAATACATCACAGGGGACAGGAATACAATAAACAGGGTTTGGACGTGCACTCGGGGCCTGCGGCGGGGCCAGAGCTGTTGATGAAGGGCAGGTCTGAACAGGGAAGATGTGTGTGTTCAAGGGGAAATATAACTATTATTGTATGCTCTATGGAAGCTGCTACAGATGAAACCCAGTGATAATATATGTGTTATAAATCTATAGTTACAATATGTGTTAGAGCTAAAGACAGTATAAAAGCTTCTCTTATCTTATAAAGATGGAAGAAACCCAATAGGAAAGGGTTCATTTTGCTCTCTCTCTGGCTTCTATTGACTTAGATGTAAAAGTAAACTCCTCCAGCTCAGTAACAGTTTGTGTCACACTTTGGGCTTGAGAAATCTGTGGTTTAGAGCTCACTGTGATCCTTGTGTCTATATTATACACACAAGGGCACAATGAATCCTGGATCTGCAGCCTCAGTCCTGGATCTACAGCCTCAGTCCTGGATCTATAGCGTGTCCATCCGTGGTAGTGGATCAGCCTCCATGAAGTTTATCACTTTTTCCCATTGAGTTTATGAGTGGTTCCTTTCTGATGCAGGAGGGTCTAAGGACAGTGATGATCCAGGACATTTCTGCACATTTATAGCAATGATCTAGTGGTCATCCGTATTAACTAGGGCTGTCAAAATTATCGCGTTAACTCGCGTTACTTAAATTTTTAATGCGTAAAAAAAACATTAACGCATGTCCGAATGACCCGCCCATTTATCCATAATATCACTCAGAATGCTGCGTGTGAGATGGCGTCAGAGCAGGTAGGCCCTCTGGGAACTCATGTTTTAAAAGAATACTCATGTTTTAAAAGAATACGCGTTTGCTGTGAACTGAAGTCCGCCTCCTCCGCGGCTGCTCTGGTTGTAAGCCGCTAACAACAACACGGCTGTGAGCGGCTGTGAGTGAACGGCGCCGCGGTAACATGGTCATATAAGACCATATACGCCACAGAACTATTGTCTGCATGTTGTGTTCGTGTCTTTGCAATCTGTGCGTAACCTGTCCACGCAAATACACGGCGAAAGTGTCCGTGTCTCCTCCTGAAACTAAACTAAACTAAATTTGCTGATTTAAAGCTGGGGTATGTAAAGTTCCCCCTTTCATTAACAGCTCATTTTGGTTGTGCCCAAAAGCAAAAGGTTGTGAGCAAATCTATCAATCAATCAATCAATCAAAGTTTATTTGTAGAGCGCCTTTCATACACATGGCAACACAAAGCGCTTCACAGTCCACATCACAAATCATCACATAAAACAAACACCAGAATCACAATTAAAACATTAAAATCACACAAAAGATTAAAACACAATTAAAACATTAAAATCACACAAAAGAATAAAACCATTAAAACTTTCAAAATTACACAAGAAATTTAAAAAAATAAATAAATGACAGCAGTGCATTAAAAATGGAGATAAAATCCTTCAGTTGTATGCACAGGCAAACAGAACAGTCTTTAACCTGGATTTGAACATTGACAGAGTAGACGCCTCCCTCACATTTTCAGGGAGATTGTTCCAGATCTTAGCTGCATGGATCTGAAACGCAGCCTCCCCATGTTTGGTTCTCACTCTGGGCACCAGCAGGAGGCCAGTCCCTGTGCTCCTCAGAGTCCGGGCCGGTTCATATGACACCAACATGTCACTAATGTATTCTGGTGCAAGGCCATGGAGAGACTTGTACACAAGCAGAGCCGTTTTAAAATCTATTCTTTGAGCCACAGGAAGCCAGTGCAGAGACCTGAGGACCGGACTAATATGGTCATACTTCCTGGTTCCTGTCAGGACTCTAGCTGCTGCATTTTGGATGTACTGCAGCTGCTTACAGGTCTGTTTGGACAGACCTGTAAGCAGGCCATTGCAGTAGTCTAGCCTGCTGGAGACAAATGCATGGACAAGAATCTCCAAGTCTGCCCTGGACACTATATTTCTAACTTTGGCAATGTTCTTCAGATGGTAAAAAGCTGTTGATGTTATTGATTTTATGTGGCTATTGAAATTTAGGTCTGAGTCCAGTATTACCCCCAAATTTCTGACCTTGTCTGAAGGAAGTAGGGAGAGAGACTGAAGTTGACAAATGACGCCCTCTCTTTGTTTCTGGGGACCAAAGACAATGATTTCGGTTTTGTCTGTATTTAGCTGGAGGAAATTATTTTGCATCCAGTCACTGATCTGTTGGATACAGTGAAGGAGCAAATCCAGTGGTCCATGTTCTCCTGCAGTCAGTGAGACATAGATCTGAGTGTCGTCAGCGTAATTGTGGTAGGACACTTTGTTTCTTTGTATTAACTGACCTAACGGCAGCATGTAGAGATTAAATAGGAGAGGTCCCAGGATCGACCCCTGTGGTACACCACAGGTCAGGGCCACATCATCTGAGACGCAGTCTCCAATCTCCACAGAGTACTTCCTATCCTCCAGGTAAGACCTAAACCAGTCTAGGGCTGTGCCAGTGACACCAACCCAGTCCTCCAGTCTCTGCATGAGGATCTCATGGTCGACAGTGTCGAACGCGGCACTAAGATCTAACATGACCAAAACTGTGACTTTACCTGCATCAGTGTGAAGTCGAATGTCGTTTGTTACCTTCACTAGAGCGGTCTCAGTGCTGTGGTGGGGTCTAAACCCAGACTGGAACATATCAAAAGAATTATTCATTGTTAAAAATTCAGTAAGTTGTTGGGAGGCCACTTTTTCAAGAATTTTTCCAATAAATGGCAGATTCGATATGGGGCGATAATTTTGAAGTCCCGCAGGATCCAGACTGCTCTTTTTTAGGAGAGGTCTTATGACTGCTGTTTTTAGGGCCATAGGAAATGTTCCTGACGACAGAGACATGTTTACTATTTGTGTCAGTGAAGGTAACAAACTGCTCAGGACGGACTTCAGAAATTTAGAGGGCAATATATCCAGGCTACATGTG